CTTCTGGGACATTTCTCCTCATGCTTTGGTTCAGGTGTAAGTGTTTTTTCACCTTTTACTTTGTGATGTCTTCCTCTTGAGGCTTACATTATATTCACTTATATCTGTCTCCAGGTAGCTTCCAGTCTAATGTATTGTCCCTTTCATCCTTTTCTCATCACATTCACTACCTCCTCTTGCTTTTTTAAAAAAAAATCACCTTCTGCCGCCCTGACCTCCTACCATCATGTGCAATCCAAATCACTCTCACATCAGCGTCCCCCTGCACTTTTAGAAGAGAAAGATTACAGAACCACTATTTTTCAACCTTATAGCAGACATCTGTTTATTAATATTCCTATTTCTTCAATTACTTGGAAATATTAGGACCTGATAAGTTAAAAAATTGTAAGCATGAATTTATTTGACTGTGCCTGACAATAAAACTTAATTCTGTGCGTCAACATGGTTGTCTAGAAATTATAATGTACAGTCATGTGAAAAGCTAAGTACACCTTTAATGCTCTGCACTTGATTAACTAATCACCAAGTGTGACAACCTCTGTTAAAACAAAAGCTAGTAGTTTGCAGGTCTGGAGCATTCAGGCATGTGTAAAAGCAACACCATAATCTTCTCAGGAGTGGACGTCTCAGCAAACTCATGCCAAGATCAGACTGTGCAATGTTCAGAAAAACTGCAAAAAACCCAAGAACTACATCTCACTCTATAGGTCTCAGTTAGCATGTAAAATGTTAAAGTTCGTGAGAGCAAAATTGGAAAAAGACTGAACAAGTATGGCTTGTTTGGAATCCTTCCCAGAAAGCCTCTTCTCTCTGAAAAGAACATGGCAACATGGCGTAGATCTGCAAAGTTACTAATGTAAACAAACAGATGAGACCAACATTTGGCCATAATGCACAGAACCAAACACAGCCTATCAGCACAAACAGCTCACATTGACTGTCAAGCACAGTGTTGTCGGAGTGATTGTTTTGCAGCCACAGAGTCTGGCACCATGCAGTCAACCATGAATGCCTCTGCATGCCAAAGTATTCTAAAATCACATGTGAGGCTGTTTGTTTTGCCCAGACTGGGTCATGCAGGACGAGGATGCAGCTCAGGAGAGCAGATCATCTACTTGTTGGAAGGTTGGTGCTTCAAACTCTGGTTGCTCCAGTCTGCATGCCAAAGTATTCTTGGGCAAAACACTGAACCCTAAATTCCTCTGATGCATTTACTGAATTCAATTCCATTCAATTTTATTTATATAGCACCAAATTACAGCAACAGTCACCTCAAGGCGCTTTATATTGTAAGGTAGACCCTACAATTATACATATAGAAAAAAAAAAACCAACAATCAAATGAAATGATTGATTGAGTACAAATGTGCATGAATGTTAGATAGAAAGCACTTAGGTGTAGAAAAAAGTGCTAGTTTGAATGGGTGACATGTTGTATAAAGCGCCTTCAGGGCTAAAGTCGAGCAGAAAAGTGCCATATAGTAACCAGTCTGTTTAACAATGGCTGAAAAAGAAAAGTCACAGTCCAGACTTAAACCTGATGAAATGTGACATTGAAAGCTTAAGAGAGCTGTGTATATCCAAATACCTGCAAACCTCAATGAACTAAAGCAGTGCGATTGATAAAAGATGTTTTGTAAGTCATTCAGTGAACATTACAGGGAGTGCAGAATTATTAGGCAAGTTGTATTTTTGAGGAATAATTTTATTATTGAACAACAACCATGTTCTCAATGAACCCAAAAAACTCATTAATATCAAAGCTGAATGTTTTTGGAAGTAGTTTTTAGTTTGTTTTTAGTTTTAGCTATTTTAGGGGGATATCTGTGTGTGCAGGTGACTATTATTGTGCATAATTATTAGGCAACTTAACAAAAAACAAATATATACCCATTTCAATTATTTATTTTTACCAGTGAAACCAATATAACATCTCCACATTCACAAATATACATTTCTGACATTCAAAAACAAATCAGCGACCAATATAGCCACCTTTCTTTGCAAGGACACTCAAAAGCCTGCCATCCATGGATTCTGTCAGTGTTTTGATCTGTTCACCATCAACATTGCGTGCAGCAGCAACCACAGCCTCCCAGACACTGTTCAGAGAGGTGTACTGTTTTCCCTCCTTGTAAATCTCACATTTGATGATGGACCACAGGTTCTCAATGGGGTTCAGATCAGGTGAACGAGGGGGCCATGTCATTAGTTTTTCTTCTTTTATACCCTTTCTTGCCAGCCACGCTGTGGAGTACTTGGACGCGTGTGATGGAGCATTGTCCTGCATGAAAATCATGTTTTTCTTGAAGGATGCAGACTTCTTCCTGTACCACTGCTTGAAGAAGGTGTCTTCCAGAAACTGGCAGTAGGACTGGGAGTTGAGCTTGACTCCATCCTCCACCCGAAAAGGCCCCACAAGCTCATCTTTGATGATACCAGCCCAAACCAGTACTCCACCTCCACCTTGCTGGCGTCTGAGTCGGACTGGAGCTCTCTGCCCTTTACCAATCCAGCCACGGGCCCATCCATCTGGCCCATCAAGACTCACTCTCATTTCATCAGTCCATAAAACCTTAGAAAAACCAGTCTTGAGATATTTCTTGGCCCAGTCTTGACGTTTCAGCTTGTGTGTCTTGTTCAGTGGTGGTCGTCTTTCAGCCTTTCTTACCTTGGCCATGTCTCTGAGTATTGCACACCTTGTGCTTTTGGGCACTCCAGTGATGTTGCAGCTCTGAAATATGGCCAAACTGGTGGCAAGTGGCATCTTGGCAGCTGCACGCTTGACTTTTCTCAGTTCATGGGCAGTTATTTTGCGCCTTGGTTTTTCCACACGCTTCTTGCGACCCTGTTGACTATTTTGAATGAAACGCTTGATTGTTGGATGATCACGCTTCAGAAGCTTTGCAATTTTGAGACTGCTGCATCCCTCTGCAAGATATCTCACTATTTTTGACTTTTCTGAGCCTGTCAAGTCCTTCTTTTGACCCATTTTGCCAAAGGAAAGGACGTTGCCTAATAATTATGCACACCTGATATAGGGTGTTGATGTAGACCACACTCCTTCTCATTACAGAGATGCACATCACCTAATATGCTTAATTGGTAGTAGGCTTTCGAGCCTATACAGCTTGGAGTAAGACAACATGCATGAAGAGGATGATGTGGACAAAATACTCATTTGCCTAATAATTCTGCACTCCCTGTATTAGTGGTAATGAGGCCCTCTAGATAAGAGCCAGTAGAGGGCTTATACACCTGCTAGTCAGTCAGAAGGTTTTTACCATCCATTCACATGGAGGACCACTAACAGCAGCACGGGCAGACTCCAGTCCTGCTAAACATTCTCCCAAGACTGTTAATGTGAAAGAGCAACTTGATAAAGCAGAGAACTGTTTTGTTTTGAGCATTTCCTTCTCCACCTTTTTACACCTTTTCGCTAAAAGGATGAGCACACTTTGCCATCATTGCTGACCAAAGTACAATTAATGAGTACAGTGTAGTTTTATTTATATAGCAGTAATTCACCATAACAATCCTCTCAAAGTGTGTTCTATGTTACAGTAAAGATCCTACAGAGAGAACCACAGTGCTCAAGAATCACTACAGTTATTCACAGACTGTATATAGCATGCAGTCTGGGCTCTAGATAAAGAAATATATTCCAGAAAGGATTCACATTATTAGTGCTAAAAGTCATGTGCTACATATGTGTTATTAAACACAAATATACATGTTTCAATGAATAAACTAAACTATTTTCTTACCTTTATCTCATTGATGAGGACAACATTCACTGTATCTGACTGGCCATATCGGACTCTGTTTTATCTCTGGATAAAAGCACTAAACAGTCAGATTTATAGTGTTTGAAACAACACAATATAATCCAAACAACTTGAAGAACTTTTAGATTTAATTTTGGTGAGCTGGCTGCTATTTTGACACCTTTTGTCCAAGACAATACTGATGAAGCACAAGAAGAAAAATGTGATGCCCTCATGTGCTGGTCTCAGGAGATTAAGAGCATTGATATCTGGCTTGTGTTATTTGTATGTATGAATCTATGCAATATATTTAAAATGACACTGCAGAAATAACAGTAACATTAAAAATATATTTGGTGCAACCAAAGTCATCTAATCTAACTGTTAAAACCTTTGTATCAGAAATAACAGACTAGGAAATAAAAAGCACAAGTTTTTTTAATGAATGCTGGATGAAGTTCACTGAAGATGCATAAAGATAAACAGAATCAGTGGGTGATTCTGGTGGCAGCATTCTTATTTTAATGTGTTTTATAAAACACAACTACACAACTTTCTTGGATCTGTATTTTTTCAGCATAATAAACTGAGGTGGGGAAAAGAAAAACTGTACACCAACAATAAAAAAACAAAGACAAAAACAAAGAAACACCCCAAAACAAAACAGATATTAACTAAGAGCAATCAGTTACTTTTCCGTTTCATAATGTCAGAACTTCTGGTACGTATAGCATTCATTCACACAAAGATCTTAATGGATTTTTTGGGGGGGACGGGTTACTTCACGATAAGATGGTCCTATATTGTTTAATCTGTAAGGAAATGTAGGAAAGTTGGCTTGGTTCCTGTTTTTGTTTAGTTGTTTTTTTAAATTATTTTATTATTAGTTATATTTATTACTTTATTTATTTATTGTTATTTTTGACTTATAAATACTACAGCAGACACATTTTCTACAGTTTTTTTTTTTTAAATCCAGATCATTCTTGAATGTATACAAAAAATGATAAGGAAAAAAATGAATGGAAAAATGATAGGGAACGAATTAATTTATAGACCAAACATTATTTATTTTGAATCTTTTCAAAACAAGTTTCAGAAGCGGGTAAATGTTGTGTAGGCCTAATATTTATTTAATTAATTAATTGTTTGTTTGTTTGTTTGTTTGTTTGTTTATCAATAATCTTATTATTATTACTAACGCAAACGACTGACGTAAGGTCGTCACACCCTAACGTCATGAAGCCGCGCCAGTGTTGTGGTACCAAGACAAACAGAAGCTAAAAGCGAGGCTAGTGGTGAAATTTGGATGGTGCCTCCTACGTGGACTCTGCACTGTTTGGTAAGAAGCACCTACGTGTCACAGTTGCAGCAGAGGATCATATTTATCCCATTTTTATTTATTTATTTTCTACGTTTCGCTTCTTCTGGTATTGGTTAAGTTTCAAGCAAAGTAATGCAGCTAGTTGTTAGCAGAGTGCTCCTCAGTAATATTACGCTGTTACTACAGTTGTGAAGTTTAAACTGAGGTTTACTGTCTGGAGAGGTCTAAAACTCTGCAGCTATAAGTACTTTCGAAGAAGGAGCGCTGCTGCTATGCGGTTCTTACGTTGAAGTCTAAAATAAACGCCGACGTTGTTAGCGTCGCTGGATGTTGATGCTAATTTAGCTAATACAGCAGAGCTGCTGCCCCTGCGAGCATTTGGCTGTTTATTTTTTTTATGACTTATAGATTATTGTCAGGTCTACGTGAGGTTTGACACATCGATATGTTCTATGTATGCATGCAGCCACAGGAAGTCTCGAGGTAGCTGGTGGGAGAGGATGAGTTTGTTATTACCTGATAGTCATCTAAGTGTTTTTAATTATCTAGTCGTGTTTCATTAATATTCTGTCCCTTTCCAACTAAGTTTTAAAGGGATTACTAGTGTAATAGTAACTTTTTAGACGAGCAAATACAAAAATAAAAAAAATCAAAGGCCGGGGCGAACAACTATAACAGTAAAGTACACAAGAAAATTCAGCTAAAAGCAATACACAAACCATTATGAAACCATAAGTGATGATTAAAGGAAAAACGCAAAAAACAAACAATATCATGTGAAAGCAATTTGATAAACGTGTTTGTTAGAACGACTAGATGCGTAGATTTAAGCCAAAAAATGTGGGATGGCCAAGAAAGCCCAGCTGTGAAGCTAAGGCTGCAAACCGGCTCATTTGGGGCCAATATCTCCGTTAGGAAGCAAGGACCCAAACATGCTTTAAAAGTCAGCTCTAAAATGTACAGAGAGCCAGTAGAGAAAAGCAAAGACTTTGGTGATGTGACACTGTCCACTAAGAAGCTGAGCTGTTGCATTCTCAACCAGCTGAATGTGAGAGGGTGACCTTTAACTAATCCCAGAAAGAAAGGTACACTTCTTTATCTTGGTCCTATGCCTTTTGCTCCTTTTTGAAATTTTGGTTGGTTAAATTCTGGGTCTTGGTATGCTTCATGTACTTGCCGTATTTTCTAAGGCCTACGATCATCTGTGCCACAGCATATTTTAATACAGATGAATGCACACTTCATTTTTGTGTGTTTTCACTATATTTTGTATGTCTTTCTTTAACTAAAATATTAATCTAAGGCACTAATAATTTAAGGCAATCATTTCCCACCAGGTTTGGAAGAACTGAATGAGGTGCTGCTTTTTGCCTCTTCTCTTGTGTGAGTTCTACTGCTGCCGGGATGGGTCAGCAGATCTCAGGTCAGGCGGTGATGAACCATCTGCCTGAGAAGCTGGTGAAACATGCCGGATTGGTTCGTGACAGCGGCTACCTAAACTACGAGGAGTTTCTAGCAAGAGTGGCTGAACTTAATGACGTGTAAGTCTGTTAAAGATGATCAGCTTTCCCGTACAACAAATAGCTTTTCTTTAAGACAAACAGTTTTTGTGCAGAATGGATAGGTGGAGAAACTTGACCTATTTCACAAAGTGTACCTTTGGGACTCTTCAAATTGAGTGCTGGCATCAGTACTTTTATGACATATGGGATTTGGCCTTCCTTATTCCCCCAGCATTAGACACAGTTCTGCCAGTTTACCTTTAGCTTACAAACTCCTAGAGGTAATAGCTGCAAGGCATGATAATGCAGCAGAAGGTGGAGTAGAGAAAGGCTTTGTTACAGCAATTCTGAAAAAAAGATTAATGTGACAACAAAATAAACAGCACAGTGCAGTGTTATTGATGAAAATAATCATTGAAAACACCTGAAAAAGAAGGCGCAATGAAAATGTGTTTTTTTTAACATTCATCATGATGAGAAATAAATCAAAAATCTGCGTGCTTTATGGAGGATGGTTGGAATGGTTTATGGAGATAAACATAACCTTTTCCCCTCTCTCCTGCGTCTCTCTCAGTACGGCCAAGCTAGCTGCTGGACAGCAGAAGCACCTGCTGTTTGAGGTGCAGCCAGGATCTGATGCTACAGCCTTGTGGAAAGTGGCTGTCAGGGTTGTGTGTACCAAGGTGAGACCAAAGAGCCTTCCCCACATGCCAACAGAGGCATCTGCACACACATTTATGACAGAGAGGGACAGATGTGAGTGAAACCATACTCCTGTAAATTGTGTTTATATGAGGAAACCATGCTCTGAGGGATCTCCTGGGATGTCTGCAAGTGTTAAAACCAATTTATTGTTTGGAAATGGACTCTTATCAGAATGATGTTTACTATTTCACAAAAATCAAGCCCTTTCTGGGGATCATAATAATATTACAGGGTAGGTGAGGGTAATAGATCTCTGACAGTTTAACTCATTGTTCCACATCGGTTTTTAACTTTAAACGTAATGTAACACTGCCACTGACCAGGCCAAACAAAAATAGAAAGTTTTTGTTTCTTCATAATTAATATGAAGAAACAAAAAGTTGTGTATGTAGTTGGTTGCATTTGTTTGTGTCTGTCTGTTAGATGTCAACTGTCTGCAGTTTCCAAGATATCATTTTCAAATTTTGTGTGATGGTAGATACTAATAACAGCTTGAGTCATAACATGACACCATAAAGTTCCACAAAATCACATACTGCATGAATAGATGTTAAAGTCTCATGTTTTTACAGGTTATAGAAGCTAAAAGATGTCAGCCAATTCTGCTCCAATCATATGGTTAAAATAATAAAATGCACAGTTATAGTATGTAATGCTTCAAGGTCAAAGTTTAGAATCACATGAATTAGGAAAAACTTTCCATCGGATCATTTCCAGATTCTAAAGCAGTATAATAGTCATTGAGTAGCATAAGCACTTCCTTTCTTTGAACTCTTTAAAACATTATTTTTTAATACATTATAATCACAATGACCAACAAGATTAATATGCTACACTAGATTTCCATATTAACAATGCTCACATCAGCACAAGTGATCTATGAGAACTACTTACATCAGCACGTTGTCATGAAAACATCACAGTTTTAGTATAACCTTTGCCCTTTGGTGGGAGTTGCTCTGTGAGTGCTCTTGTGATTGCCTTTGCTTCCCTTCAGATCAATAAGGAGAATGGCATGGTTGAAGCATCGCGGATCATGAACCTGTATCAGTTCATCCAACTCTATCGTGACATCACCAGTCAGGCAGCTGAAGTGTTGTCTGTAGAGGGTGCCACTAAGGGCCCCTCAACCGAGCTTCCCTCCACTGACTCCTGCCAGGCCAGCATGTGGATGGGCAGGTCAGTTACCAGGAAATGGACAGCTATGATATAAAGTGCACACACAACAATTAGATTTTCATGACGTTTTTTAATAGTGAAGATGGACAGGGATTATGGGAAAAGAGAGCAGTGGTACAACATGCAGCAGAGGTCTTTGTTCAGCGAATGCACTCACTTGTAATCATTGCCAGATTTTGAAGGAGAGTTTTCCTACAACAGACCTGAAAAAATATAGAATATTGGACTTTTGTTTGTCAGCTGAGCAGTAATGATGTTTGTGAACATATGCGCTATTAAAAATGTTACACTTGTGCAAATATCAATGCTGTTTCCAGCTTTAGCCTCCAAGTGCCCAAAATGTAGTCTCCCTGCTCAGCACATGTGTTACTGATGCAAGACTACAGAAAATGTTTTTTAATGCCCCACCATCTGCATGAATTATATATTTTTAAGGTTGTTTTTTTTTTGTTTTGTTTTGTTTTTGTTTTTGTTTTTTTTACAGCTGAGCGATTCCTTATTCTGTAAAGTTGAGGGGGGCAGTGACTGATGGGTCATTTTAAGGCTTTTACACATTTTTATAACCCCGAGAAATATTTAT